ATTATAAGCATTATAAGCAATGTAATCTTCAATAAATAATAAATCTATATTACACATCTAATCTAGTTGGCCGTTAATCACCGAATTTCTGAAATTAACTTGTACCAAGCTTAATAAGTTTAAAGTGAAATATATTCAATTTAAACGAGGTATTTTAGAATTTCATTTCAAAATTGTTGCATATTCCATGTTTGACGAATGTTTGACAGTTTCAGTTTCATATGAAAATTATGAATTTCAAATTCATATAAAGTTGCGAAGGAGTCTAGAATGTGACATAACTTGAAATCAATGTTCACCCACAAAGTTTTGATATATTTGACTGCGAGAGTTCTTCTTTCATGAAGTGAAGAGAATCGAAATGTTTCCATTGATCTCGATGTTAATGGTTGAGAAAGCACATAATTTATGCAGTTAACCTGACAAGCAACAAGCATTAAAAGTAGGATAGACGGAAGTAAGAAATAGCGGAAAGAGAAAAAGTTATTGTAAATAAAAATCGAAAGCAATTCATCAATATTCACAACTGACGGAAATGAACAAATTTTAGATGTATGGCGTCGAAAAACTTCTATATAACTATTTCCATCAATTAATTGTATTTCATCTTTTCTCTAACAACATAATATGTGGAATATTCTAGGATAAGGATTCAGAGAGAAAGCATCACAAAAATCTATATATTAAAAGATTACGTGAAGTTGCAGAAAGAAGATTTTATAAACTATTAATGTTATTTCAGTTTTATTGATTACCAATCTTCATTTGTCACCGATGAATTAATTGTCTTACAAGCAATAGTTTATCAAGTTTTGAAGATTTTTATAAGTTGGCTAAGGAAAACAATAATTTGATTTACTTATAAGATGCGATCACATGAATTCCTTGTAATGCGGAAATAATGTCCAAATGCTTAAGTCGAACTTTGTGGAGGAGAAATCCTCCACAAAGTTCGACTTAAGCGTTTCATTATTATGATAAACTTTAGCTCTCATAATTCCAAATAAGGCATGAAATGATAAATACAGCAAGCTATATTTTGAAAAAAGTATACTAATTTTGTGTTATTTACAATTTCGCTAAAAAAAGAATTTGACAGAAATACTGCCCGGATGGGTGTCTAACTATGCTTTAGAATTGTCGCATCGTTTGTATAATTTTATATATTAAGCTGAACTTAAGTCTATTATGAATTTTCAGTAAATAATGTTGTATATGTCTAAATATTATTTTCTTGATATCCCATCCTAACTCTTCTTTGTGAATATAATAAATTTGTTTTATATTTAAAATGTAAATTAAATTCCTTTTAGCTTTTTGTCTGATTTCTAGCAGATATGATGAAATAAATTCAAAATATATACATTTAAGATTATCCGTTGGGAATTCGTGTTGTTCATCTGTTGCTCATTAAGAGAATATTTGAAGATGAATATGAAACTGTTGATCTGTACAGCCAAATAGTGTTATTGGAAACTTTCAAAAGGCTTTTTATTTGAAATTCATTCTTGAAATGTTTCGTTTCATCATTTATCTACAAATGATGTCCGCAACAATTTCATTTATCATTAGATTGACGCTTTTGATATTTATAATGCAAAAGAGAGATAATTGTGATAACGATTCATATAGGCAACAATGGATTGGAGAATCCATCAGAAGAAAAGATGCCATGGTTAAATTTCATTCATTTTTCAAATCAAAAAAAAGAATGAAAAATATGTGCATCATTCCGTATTCTCTTCAAATATTACCAGTCTCTTTAGTCTTAGACTTAAAAAAACATAAAGTGTACACTTGAGCATCATTATCTTTTCTTTCTCGATCATTTATCATCAAATTTATCACTGTAAATTCATGATTAGGCACAGCAGAAAATAATGATCTCATTTCACGTAGATATTGTTACTCTTACTGCCTTTATTTGAAAGATAGTTGTATTTATTTCTTGATTGCATAAAATTATTCATTCATTGATTTTTTTTTCATCAGTTGCAAAGCTCAGGTTACTGTACGAATTGATCATCAACTTTTATTCAATAAAAAAGAAATTGATAAAATTTAAATGAAAGCGATAAATATTCCACCGAAAATCACCAAGGATATGTTGTACGTCCTCATCCTTCTCATTCACATTTGGTGATTTTAAAAGACAAAGTATGAAAATAATACTGCTAAGGAAATGTTTTGAAATATGGGGTCATCCGGGATCAACAACGTACATATTTGTTATTTGTTATGTACTAATACAGTTAAGATAAAACACACGGAAACATATGAAGTAGCAAGCAAAATTCTGTACAACATATTTTCAATCATAAAATTTTACAAAATTAATATATGCGAATACAATGTTCGAGAATATATTATTTTGATAAAAATATTTAAAACATTGTAGATTTAATAGAAAGAAATTCAGTGATTATGCAATAATTAAGAAATGTAATAAATAAATAAAAGGAAGGAAGGAAGTGGAAAAATATCTAGAAAACGAGGAAAGTTTCTAGACATAAATATTCTCATAAATTTAGGAGTTAAAGGAGAGAAATAATAAAGAATGACGGAGCATATGTGTAACAGCAATAGGAACAATAATAGGAGCTGTCGCAGTTCGATGCAATATAATATGTAACTATTTGGTGCCTTTGAAATAGATGGATGGATTATTCGATTCAGAGTGATGGCCTTTTTACGTTTGCCGTTTTTCTTTCATACAGCAAAAGCCAGGTGAAAGATAATGCATATCTCACGAGAGGAGGCTGTTGCCTGTTGCAGGGACCTAATTTATTGGTTTGAGAGAACAAGAAAGATGCTTTTATAACGATGTGTGCAAACGACATCAATCACAGGGTTTGAACTGATTGCTCTTTGCGGCTTAGTAAATCACCAATCATTCATATACTCCCTTCCGCATGGGAAAAGGAACCTTCTGGATAAGGCTATCTGGGCCAATTCACACTTCAAAACCAATCATTTAGATTATGGATTGTTACGGACCATGAGAAACAGGAGAATGTTGCGAGGTAAAAGTTATTCGAAATTTTCGCTGGATAGAATGAACGTTTTCAAATCCATTTCGTGAATATGAGTGATCACTGTCATTATCCCATGCGGCAGTAGTAATCATGAAAATTTAATTCAAACGGATAATTTCGGGTAGCATATCATTGTATTTAATTAAGACGTAACTTTTTTTGGACTGCACCCATTAAATTGCTTGCTATCAAACAGTGGAACATTCTCACCAACATATCAAAAATTATCGTCAGGTCGATTAGATTGCAACACAACAAATAGCTTTGACTTTTCAAATCCTTTATTAGTTTGCTATTGTTAGAGCAACGCGTCTTCAGCAAGTGTCATTAAAAACAAAATATGAGTGATTTATGAGTGCTTCTATTCGCATTGTGAAAAACGATTTCTCAAAATTTCCAGATTTCATAATGAATGAAATGACGTAAAACGATTTCACAAATATTCATTTGAATGGAGAAACTGATAAAATGAATTTTATAGGATTTCATTAGCAGTAACTTGGAATTGTTTTACTTGCTGCAAAGCGATCAGTAAATTATTCAACGTTATTATCATTTATGAGCATCAATTATTTTTATCTAGCTGAAATTATCCTATTTAGACATAATTTCCCAGTGCATATATTTCAATTACATTGTAAATTGCCATCGTCTTACAATCTCCGACATTATGAAGATAACATGTAAGATACTGTACACGGGAAGTATGCATTATTAGTTGTGAAAATGAGGTAATTGTTAAGGAATAATCATTTGCTGATAATAGCAGTTATAATGAGCGTGATGAATGTTATCAATGAACAAAAGAAATGAACCACTCTCCTCTCCGTCTTTTCTTTCCCTGTTCTTCAAACTGCTGTTTATTTTATTGTTTTTACCAGTATTTTAAAAAACATTTCAAAGGTTTGATTTTTCTATAAAATTATGGCATAATATCAAGAAGATGAAATTTCCGAAACTGTCCAGCTGTGGAGTTTGTGAATTCTATTCCTGCTAGTTTTCTGAAAGTTACTTCAGCCATCTAAATCCGAAACTTGTAGATTATAAAGTCTAGTACGAATATTGTTCGGATTCTATTCAAAATTTTATTGGTTGGTTTCCTCACTTGGATTCGTCTGAAAAAAAAATTTCGGAAAGTTCAAACTTTTTGAAGTCAATTTTGCTCAATATTTTTTGAAAATGTCTTCGTTGATAAGATAGATAAAAAGTGTTTCCGCTTCTATTCTTCGTGTCTCAAGCATTACCTTCGAAAGTTTAATTGAAATAAATGGAAGTTGATAAAAAGATCAAGAAGGACATTAAATGAAATGTCACATGTAAGTTTATTCTTCTTGGATGTCAATGAAAACTGTCCATGCAAGTATATTTATTGATCGAGTTTAGATGAAAGGAAGTGATGGAAATGAGATGTCGGATCAGGTAGGGTCGAGTTGAGTAGATGTGAACAGTTTGATCTGAGAGTTCTTACTTGATTGCCGCATCCTTTTCACTCTACCATAGCATGCTTGTTACCTGCAAACAAGCAACTTCATGTTGATCAAACTTCTTCCTCAGTACTGCTCATTCTTTTCACATCAATCATCAATTAGTCAAAACGTCAAGTTTCACGTCAATAAATTTGCTAGTAGTGGCACAATGAGGTGACATCAGATGAAAGGGTGGGAGAAGAGGAAGCGCTAGCAAAATGGTTAGAAATGTCTGTTTGTTGACAGGAGAGCGTGATGGATTACGCGTGTCCAGCCAAGGAGGGACTTCGGCAGCCTAACACGCTGTTTGAAGTGTGCCGCAGATCGGCACCCTTTGGCTGCTTGTCAATCATTGCGCCATACAGTAATTGTCGTTGTCGTCCTAATGTGAAGTATGCGTTTGTGTGCGTGTGCGTGTGCGTGTGTGCGTGTGCGTGTGTGCGTGTGTATGTGTATGTGTATGTGTGCATATGGATGATATTGCTTTGATTGATAGTTTTCACATTGCTGCTGTAAGCTTGCTGCGCAGTACCGCTTGCAATCCGTCAAATTCGTCTTTCTCCTCTTCCTCTTCCGTCAATTTAATCTTGTCGATCAATCCGATTGTCTCTCCATCCATCCATCCATCTATCTTTATTGCTGCCTGCTTGCATGGAGCTCAAAGAGAACAAAATAAATATTCATTCGCGGATAACTTTGATTTTTCCCGAGCCTCTACTTCGAGGAAAGGGACGAGAAGCAATCCTTTATAGCGAGGTATCCGCGTAGTTGCAGTCTCCTCTGTACCTTACCGCCGCTTCCTTTTCTTTTCTTTGAGTTAAAATTTAGAAAGTGGAAACTTATACTCTGAGGATCACGTCCTACAACATTTACTATCAACTTTGTTGGAAAGAGCAGTTTTGTAGAATTTTTAATTTAAACCATTGGGAAATGAAGAGCCCTCTTACAGCTAAATATTTAATTGTGCGTTTTACTTTCAACGTGCATGCAGGAGGAGATAGGAGGCATCAATGATGGGCACCATTCCTTCCTTTCTTCGCGATAAGATTTGAGATGCTTTATAAACATTTTAATTTCAATGTTTTCACTCTTTATAAATAAGACACCTACACTCTAAGCAACAAGGGAATTAAAAGAGGACGAACGGTTTGAAGATTGTTAGTCTGATATTTTTCATCACCGGTAAACATGGCACATTGAAATATCTATCAATTTTGAATCTTTTTATTCAATTTGAATTTCTGCAAAAACATTGATTTTTCGTTACTTGCTCCTAAAACAAGCATCTTTTCGTGTCTTTGTTTGAAATCATAAACAACGTCTCAGAAATAGTCCTAAATTTAAATTACCTAATTGAAATGTTTCCATTTCAAGTACTTGGCTGTATTTCTTATTCGAAAGAGAATACAGTTGTTGATTTAAAAGAGATCTGTTGAAAATAAAGGAAGCCTTGGAAATTGATTTGGAAGAGGTTGCAGGGTACTGTTGAAGAAGACAGATATCATAAGTGTCGTAATTTGTTATATGCTTCGCTCACGAATTTGCTTCCGCTTTTTAAGAAAAACTTTTGCACTCTTATCATAATTTTTTGAGAAATGGATGATCCGTATGGATGTGGCGCAAAAAGAGATTGAGCAAGTGTTTAACAAATAACAAACACTGCTAGCTTAGGTTGTATCATAAATAGTGAACGGAACTTTACGTTACTAAATTACTAATTTCACAACACTATTATCATGGAAACAAATCTCATTTAATGATATTGATGGTGTTCTATTGAAAACCATCCATTGCATAATTTAAACAGAGATATTTTTCAATTCGTGAGAAATACCAATTATTTAGAGTTGTGGAGAAGAGTTTCGCTAATTAATGCAAACAAATACAATGTGATCGATGTTGCGTCTATTATCCTTGCATCATCATGGGGTAAGTGATACACAACTGAAGATAGCAGATTGCGCCACATCTAAACATCTGTTCTTGGTTTGTATTATAATTACAACACCGACATTTCTTTTAATCGAACAATGAATGATTACCAATACCAACATGACTCAATGAAATTACGAAGCAAAAATTTTTATAAATATTGTGAAATGATTATCAAGGCATCATTGTAAAATTATCATCATCCATGATGGTTACAAATTCATGCTTTTTAAACTTCAAAAAATGAGTGGGGTTATTAATACATCACGTTTCGAAATCATCTTTTGAGAAGTAATGGCGAAAGATGGTCAATCTTTGTTAAACTGTAACACTTCAACAGAATACAAAAAATATCTGGAAACGAGTTCTAAATTTATTTGTTCTTTTTTGAAATTTATGTAACACACTGGGGAACTGGAAAATTGTGATGAGCAGTTAATGTTTGAGCCACCGACGTAGGAACCTCATAAATCATCAAATTGGAATTGATGTATCATCAGTCCACCTATTATAAATCAGTCCTTTTTCCAGTAATCCATTTCTTCTTTATTACTGCCTTTGCAAAAAAAGAAAAATTCCATTTAATTCAGTCCCTAGAACCAATTTGATTCTAAAACAGATATACGCATCTTTTTAGAAGTTCTGACTTTCTCGCTGATAATGTCTCACCGTGTTTTTTTCCCTAAACAACTTAGCAGCTTATGAAATTGTTATTTAAATGGCAATAATTTTCCAAATAATGCACAAAAAAGAAGAGATAAAAAGTATTTGCATGGTAGATAGTTCGAATATTAATGGATCATTGAATGACAGCTTTATCAAAATCTTTTTGAATTATATTTTAAACATGAAGAAGCTCTTTTCGCATCTGTATGAATTACAATGTAAAATATATAAGATATTGCGAATAATGCATGAAGTTCATCTATAGCATGCTATGAATTCATAGTGATAGATGGAAGAACGTCATTTTAACAAATCATAGTGAAAAGAATGAATACATTTTTTTGGTTCAGATCGATCGGATCGCTCAAACACTAATTTTCCAGACGAACTGTAGTTTTCCCTCGTTTCGTTCCTAAACAGAATTAATGGCAATTACTTGACAGTTTTCATCTAATTCTTATGAAAAAATTGTTCAAAAATTAATTATTGCCGAAAAAATATTTTTTTAAAGAAAAAACACGAAGAGACATACATAGTCTTGTTATATTATCCGATAATGCTAGATTTATTCTCTTAAAAAAAGAAAAAAATTTTACTTCAGGATGAATTTAATTATACTTTCATATTGTTTTAAAACATTAGTATTTGCAGTTGTTTTTTTAAAGTAAGGTTAATTTAATTCAAAAAGCTTGGACTTATTCTACTATGCCACGTAATAGCAAAAACAATGGTCAATGGTCTTGTAAATTTAGCGTCAGCTGGAAAAGGATATATCAAGCAGTCCGGATGGCAGTCTTTATTGCTTGAATTGATCAGCCAAATGATTTCACCGATGAAGCAGTTAACGGCTGGAACCGTCCGTCTTCCTGGTATATCGACGAAGTGCATATTTTAAATTCACATGTCAAAGTAAAACTGCCGGCAGGGTAAGTTTAAATTCCTCCTAATCGAACTCCAAACTTTGTTTTGTCTCAACGCATTTGTCTTGCAAGAATAAAAGGGAAAAAAAAACGATTCAAATCGTTGCATAGATAATTTCTTCTTGTTGTGTTATATGTTGCATTACAAATTGCGATTCACTATATCAGTTGAAGATTTACTTTTGAGGCTTTTGTCTTTCGGAAGTTTTCGCATATTTTAGGAGCACCATGAAAAGCAGTAAGAGTAGCAGAAACAGCATACGTCTTACTCAGCGGGAAAATTTAGATTTATTATGCAAGCCGAAATTATAGTCATAAAATGACCTTGTTTTTTGTTCAACAGAAATGAAATTCATTGCTAATGGTGTTATTGGTGACCCATCTTAAAATATATTTTACACATATGTCATAGTTAATTTTTTTGAAATAAGTACAATTCGAACTGAAGAACTTGTATTATTTAGTTGGTTCGATAAGAAATAATTATTAAATAAAATTTCGAATTAAATTATGAAGAAAAAAATTAGTTTAAAATTATTATTATTATTGTTATTATTATTATTATTAATTATTTTTATTAATTATTATTATTATTTTTATTAATTATTATTATTATTATTGATTATTATTAATTATTATTATTGATTATTATTATCATCATTAATTATTATTACTATCATTTCTTATTGAAATAAGAAATGATCGTAAGGACCAAAGAAATAGCTTTATTTGTCCCATGTTAGAAGCTTACAATGTATTTTGATTTTAATAGTTACAATGTTATCTGCTAGAGGATATGGTAGGAAGGATGAGAAGTGGTAATGTTAACATCATCCTTATATTACCGTATATCGAAGCAGTGGTGACGATGTGATTGACAGCTGCTGCACTCCATTCGTTCCTTTCAACTTTCATTCTTTAATATTATTTGCGAAATTTCACAATAAACATGAAACTCGTCTTTTTCAGATGTCAAAATGGGGAAAATGTCAACTTCCTATATAAACATAACGGTTTTTCATTTCCGGCGAGACGTTAAACATACTTTGTAATTAGCATTAATACAGTGAGTCACTGTATCAAAACTGCAGTGCCGAATTTTGTTGTTTTAAAATGGCATTTATTTGGAACAGAGAAGCCTGAAGTTACAGTATTGAATTCAAAAAGTTCCTTCCAATAGTTTTGCAATTATGAAATTGAAACGCAGCCATTCATTTGAACTGAAATGTATGTTAGCATAGAAGATCGCAGCTGTAACAATATTTGTGTATGCGTTTGTTATCAATACGACAGTTGCAATCGATCGTTTCGAAGCCTATCAGTCAAAGAAGTGTCAAATTTGGAGGGAAAACAAAAGACAATTTTTTAAAGGGATGGCAATTTGGTATCTGAAAATTGTAGTTACAGCACAGAAATGGAAACAAAGGCAAGAGGAGAGACGAATTTATTGGTTTGCATCGATTGTTAATACATCAATCATTCTCGGGAGCACCGAACTCTTTCTCTTTCATCAATATATATAAAATGTGCTTGTTGCAGCGGCGAAGTGATCCATTTAACATTACCAATAGTCAGTCCCATAAGTTTTGTTGAAGCTGTAAGCAATGGATAGCGGCAATTCTCCAGAAGGGGAAACTGGGAAATAATAGATTAATAGGCATCCTCCAAATGAGATAAATGAGACAATTTTGAAAGAATTCTGTGGAAGTGCTTTTGCTCCGTCTTTCAAATTCTTCCCCTTTTCTCTTTCAACTTCGACGAAACTGCTTCTGAAGACACGAGGGACAGACGAGCAAACAACAAGAATCACCTTCTAAAAGAAGAATGATTGATCAATGAGTGCCTCAGCACTACCAGCTCAAAACTTACCATCAATCAATCATTTCGGCCTTTCCCCCAAAACGCCTCACTTGGATACTACCCCAATCCCGACTCCCTTAACCCATTTACCGCCTTCTTTTATCATTTCAAAGTTATATTCTGTGTATTATTCCTGTTTGTCATTTAACTAAATGAATACGAAAGTTATTTATTTTTATGAAAACGATTGGAAATACATACAACTATCTAAAATAACACTTCTAATATAATTGGAGTCCAGCAGGCCTTATTTGACATATAACAGAACCTTATTAGTTTGCTACAAATGACAGACCTAACGAGCTAGGATGCACAGGAGGAAGTAATAGTAAGAAGAAGCGACGGTGGATTGTGAAAATTAAGGAAGTGAGCATTTCATAAGTTGTGAAGAGGTGGTATTGCTGTTGCTGTTTAAAATAGCTTTTTCTTGTTGTGATGATAAGTTAAAGAATATCTCGTCTTGAACTAGATTTCTTTGACTGCATAAAATTCAACTTTAGACGAAATTTTAGTTGACACCGACAAATCCAATTGAATACACTTTTGGAATACAGTCAATATGTCCAAATTTATTTAAATCACCATTTAATCCATAATTATTTCCAAATCCATTACCGAACACGGTTGTTTTATTCTTTTATACAATGGTATTCAAAATAAAATTCATCAAAGTTACGATTTATTTTCACGATGTGAACACTGTTTACAATATTACTAAAAAATTTCTCTCACCTTTACTGTATCATTTATTAGCTATAATTTTCTATAATTTGTTCTGTGATTTACTTCTCACTCATGTAATTTCTTTGAATAGCATGAAAATCGAAATTCACAAGATGATATATATATATTAATACATTGATACTATACAAATTGCACTAATACATTGATATAGGTCAATCACTTAACCTTCGTGTTAAGTTAAAATTATACACAATAACACTATTTCTCAATTAAGCTTTGTGGATAAAAAATATAAATGCACCAATCGACATAAACAAGTTTGAAATGTTCTTTTTGATAGAAGTAGACATTTGAAAGTTAGGACATAAAGTACAGTGCTCATTTACTCTTAAACAATAATTATCGTTTCGGAATCTTTACAACTCGCTGGAATTTCCAATTGTCACTCTACTGGAAAGTGTAGAGTTTTAACCTCCATTTTCTCCGCATCAGTTGTTACTGCTGATTACGCTTACTTTTGCCTAATGGAAACATACCAACTTTCAACAATAACAATTTAACAAAAATCTCCGAAGAAAAATGAAGTGACGTGGAGTCGAAGCAAAGGAAATGATGAAATTTTGATTTTTGTGGCCTTATTGCCTATCAATGTTTCGGTTTAATGAGTTCAGAGACTTTTTAAATGTTTTTTTCTGGTCATTTCAAGAATAGATGACGATTATTGCTCGGCATCGCTCTGTCAAGATCCCTAAGTTATGATGATGTGCTTGTTTTTCAAGATATTTTATTGGTTATATTGGCACAAATGCTTATTTGCGTCTAATTTGCTTTAGTAGAACTATGTATACAGTACACTTTACTTATACATTATGATTGTTTTCGCAGGTATAAAACTTTAATTCTTTCTAATCATGCACATAATCATCGCCACGTTATAATCACTTTATAATAATTTAATGCAATAATTATTGCAAGTGTATAAAATCACGTACTCCGTTTATTCCTTTGCGTTATGGCGACGATGTTTGTTTGGATACGGAGTAGGATGACGGCGACGTCCTAGGAGACCTTTGCGCAGTGCAATCATTTTTGCACTTCCCGTGAGTGATAGCGGTGAACTTCCTCTATTGCGAGGGCCTGTTGGATTCTCCTTCTTTAAGCTACGGCCACGTGGTGGTATATCAGTTTTCGGAGTATTATTCACAGCGATCGGATCGCACTGAAAAAGATTTTATTGCGCAATTCTTTTGCTAACGCTCTGAACACAATTTCTAGCGCTTTAAACAATTTTAGAACTAGGAACAATAAGCCTGAATAAATATAAAATAAATATAACCGCCATCTATCACAAGATTTACATCAGCAGAAAGGCATTTAAAGATGTTTTTACTTCTGTGTTGTTATTCTCTGCTTCATCATTATTCTGTCCCTCGACTGAGTTAGTATCTCCTGCAAGAAGACTTTCGGAATCTTTATCCGAATTTTTCGCTTCCTCCTCGTTGGACGTATGAACATTGACACAAACAGGGGCAGGAGTTCCTGTCACTAAAAAATCTCCGCTCGAGGGATCGGGATTAGGAGCATCTGAAACTGTCGAATCTTCGCTAGACATTTTTTACTGTAGACGACCGGGATTGTAGTAATTTTACAATGATGCCTTGACTATAATCTCACAGTATTTATATATTTTTATTTCATTGAATATATTCAAATTTTTTGAATGCATGAAATCAAAAAAAAATTATTCCATTCATTCAGAAAGCGGTACGAAATATTTCACTTCAGTTTCTATTGCATCAAACATTAAAGATTCGAGAATTCGATGGAGTGGAATCTCGAAATTGGCACAGCTATGAAATAGGGATTTTTTTAAATCGTATGGATAGCCTGTTATGTTGAAAATTATCTCAGTATCGTATTCTCCTTGCATCTAATCTTGCGTCCGATTCAGTTTAATAACTAAGAGCAACATAAATTCGGAGTTGTTCGATCTTGGCTGGATGATTTTTTTCTTGAAGTTCTCTCTTCAGTATAATATGATGTTAATACATGAAACAAAACTGAGAAAGTGAAGAAGAGAAAGATCAATTTCAATTTCACTTTATACTCTGAATATAACTTAGTGATATTAAATGATCAGCGACCAATATAAAAGGGTTGATAGATCGTTAAGTAAGTTACTTCACCTTGACAGCATCTAAATTACCCTGTCAAGGCCTTTGTTGTTAATGATTGGTACAACTTCGACTAATCTGGTATCACAATTTATTGCTCACAAAAAATATTTCGACCATTTCAGCTTTCAGATGCACACAGTTATTTTTAATCTCTAAGATCATTAATCAAATAAACTGTAGACTGTGACATAGCGAACCCCTGGAGCCATATAGTGCCAGTTTCTCCTTTGAGCAATGTCAAACCATTTTTTCCGGTTTGCTAAATTTGAAAAATTGCTGGCAGTGTTACGCAGAGCATAGTATCGGATAACCCTTTATGCTTCGCCGAACTGTCCCAATGCATCATTTCAGCCGTCAATCGATCATCGTTACGGTACGAAAAGAAGATTAATGAGCCATTTTTTGTCTCATCCATCAACATTTATCAAATGTTGATTTTAATGGTCTCAGAAAACGTCTCTTCTCCCTTTCTCTCTCTCTCCCCTCTTTCCCTCCTTATTCTTCCTTTCCCTTCCCAATATAACCCTTCCCCAAGGCTATAAACTAATCTTTCCCCGACGCCCCTTTCTATACCCAGAAAAATTATCAATTTTTCACCACCTCCGTCTTTAGTTTGATTTATCCGAAAATTGTGCAACTTCAAATCTGCAAAAATTCCATTCCTTTTTGGGACGAAATACTCATGTTCAAAAATTCCTTGGACAAGTGTTGCTCATCTTGTAGCCTTTGTGATCAGCCAACTTCTTTTCCCTGACGAACTTATCAATTTTTGTAAAATTCCGTAGAAAATAAAAAAGGAATAATAAATGTTACTGACGAGATTAAAATGAATAACAGTTGTCTTGTTGTGTGTTTTTATTGGAACTTTAAAACGCTGTAACCAATAAGTTGTTATAAATTTTATTGTGTGCACAAATGAATTTTTTCATACATACAGAAAAATAATCCCTTTTTTGTTTGTTTTAATAACTACCCAAAATTACTGAAAAGAAGCAAGGAAAATGGAAAACAAGAGAGATATTTTCTCGCACAATCTTTTAATAACAAATATGATGAAGAAAAAACATTCGTTTATGTGACGATGCAAAAAATAGTGAAGCTTTATAAAAGTTCCAGGATCAACACGAATTTTCGGAAATTTTTGCTGTTTACCAATTGATGGGGGATTGAAGGCAGAAAGAGGGAATAAAATAGATGACTGATTCTATACAGAATTGAGAAAATAGAATTGAAAAAAGTATCTTTCCACTAGCTTTTAGGAACTGAATGAGTTTTTCCCTAGATCTAATTGTTAACTACATAATCACGTTTCATTTTATGCACTAATTTCCGCTTTGAAAAAATTGCGCCGTAAGATTTTAGAAAATTTGAAATATGGATTGCTAAAAAAACATAAAGCACAAAACAATGAAATGTAACGATAGATCTAAAACTTGTATGAATCATGAACCTAAATTCAGATACAACTCGCAAGAAGCAAAATGAAGTATACCAATAGAATAAAACACCGTACAAAAATTAGTTAACACAGTTTGTTGAATAAATACCCGCAATAAATAACTGTTGAGAAATGGATACAGCTTATGGCTTTGATGATCAATAATCAATAAGCGCTCCCTACCAGCCCATAAAAGCCAATTATTTATTTGCTGAAATGCTACCGGCGATTGAAACTCTTTTGAGATTAAATTCATAGATTTACAAGATTTATTTGAAAGAACACTATATCACAGTTAAACCCTATTATTTTCAAATTCAACTTGAATATTTTATGGAGTGGGGGATAATAGTTGGAAAAATTCGATTACTTTCCAGAGATTTTAACTAAGCGGAGAAGACACTGTGTTCATGACATTCATCATTACTTCAGTTGGTAACACAATGAGCATAAAAAAAACCTGCTAAGGATATAAATGAGTTCTACGGATGAGGCATGGTAGCCATGAGACGTTGGGTATACATGGCTTGCAAAGCAGCTGCTGAAGGAAAGCCTGTCATTGTCGGGAATGGAGGTATTCCAAGCGGATTTGGTACAGCTGGCATCAAACCACTTGGTTTCATATACGGATGATAACGAAGAGAAGCGGCCGCTGCAGCATGATTAATTAACGATGCTGTAGTGGTTGAACGTGGTGAACTGCTTGTTTTTAGATCATTACTACTGCTTGAACTTGTTGTTGATGGAGCATGAGCTACCTAAAAATTTCAATCCTTTACTAGCAATTCATTGAATCTGTGTTATCATTCCTCTTTATCACATCAAAAATTAATCTTTCTCAACACTACCACTCTCAAACCAGCTGTTTTTATTGTAAAAATTCCAGGCGAATGCATCTGATCGTACACATTCAATAAAATATATACCTTCATATGTGCAGCAAGTTCATCGGCAGTTGGAAAAGATTTTCCACAAACACCATTTGATGACTCGATCCAATTACAGATATGTTTGGTTGCTTGTCCAGAAGCTGCAGCCATCAAATTCTGATAAGCAATTTGCGCTGCTGAGCTGAAAATTAAAAAGGTGAATTTTGCTAATCTTTCATAATAAGAAAATGAATTACACCGTTTTGAGAAAAACGATATCTGATTCAAAATTCCTGAGTAATTAATAAATTCAAAAAGTCTGAGTAAAATTCCGCCACCGAACCAGCAAAGGTCTGTGTTACATATATAAGTATTAAATTGCCTCTTTAAGAAAATTTTCAGCAAAAATTAGAATCAATTTCACATTTATTTTCTTTGCTTCTTTATTTTTGGAGACTTTATTAAGATATTAAGATACTGACTTTTGTAAGAACATTTACCTTGATATTGGTGGTAATGTTCCGGATAGAAGTGGACTATAAGCAGCAGCAAAAAAGGATGGTGGAAAAGTCATCATCAAATCGGCAGGTGTGGTACTAGCAGCAACTGCGGCAGCAGCACTATGCATTGTACAGCTTGTACAACCTGGAGTTACGCATGGCCTTGTCATCATAGTTGCTGGACATCCTATAAATAAATATAAAATACTCCAAAATGGAACTGGCTTAAAAGATTCACAAATTGCGATGACGGAAGTAAATTTTCCTTTCTTTTAGTTTCAAAACCAAAGTCCATCAATAAACTAACACTTATTCAAAAGCCTGAATATTTATAAATGCTGATCCAATTAGTTTCTTATATTTAAAAACGGACCCTTGCAAGTTAGTGGATCTGGACATCGTAGGAATGGATTTGATGATCCAGTTGGAAAAGCTCCAGCAGCAGCAAAAGTGGGGACAGTTGGAAATCCAGGCATGAGAGATGGATAAGGGAAGGTCGGAAAGCTTGTAGCAAGAGGTGAGAAATTCATGGGGAAACAGCCTCGTGCACTGAGCATCAAGTTTGCAGGTAACGAAGCAGCGGCACTGGTGGATGGCTCAGAACTTATCGGAGTCTTCTTGCCGACAGATGGGCTGTGCGCTATGTGACTGGGACTTTTGGATCCTTCCTTTTTATTTTTTGCCGGTGGACTAGGTTCTTCCTTTTTCATTTCACCAGATGTGCTACTACTTGGACTGGTGCGATCTCTGGATTTATCACCGTCCTTATTGGATTTCCGGCTTGATGTGTCTGGAAGGCCAATTGTTTCGCAAGTTTTTGCAAGCATCGCAAGAGGTGATTTACCGGAATCCATCTGTAAACATGAACATTTTTACATAATTACTATTTTACAAAATTCAAAACGTCTGAAACTTAAATACGAATTTTCAACTACAAATTTAAGACGAGCACCACTTGAATATTTCAATTGAACCTGGTTTCCAATAAGTTAAATTATAAGTTAAATTAAGTTAAGTATTTGGACTTCGACATATATACAAGTTATCCGAGTGATGATTCATAGAATAAAGAAGAAATGCAACAGATCTAATGAATAAATTTGAAAGAATAATATATGCCAGTGATAAAATGGAAAAGAACCTACAGATCTTTCATAGAAAAAGCTTTTTTCACTCAAATGATGCATCAATTCACACTCACTTGATAAGATTTTTACTGTGAAATTAGAAAGAGGAAAATTTCGAGCAACAAATTAATGCGCAGAAATTAGTATGATTATGAATAATCTCGATTCCGAATCATGAAAAAATTACAGTTACCTGAGAATGGCAACCCAAAAAGGAACATAAAACAACTTATAATTCAGTAAGATAGGACAAAGAATTCAAAATCTTCCTTTCCATTGTCGAAGCTCACCTAGTCAGAGTGATTCTTCGTTCTAGCTTATTGAATTATAAGTTGTTTTATTTTCCTGTGCGACAACTTCAACTTCGATATTCTAACGGTGAGGACAATACACATCTATCCCAGGTTACCTTTAGTGGACTTATTTATGCGCCACCACTTGAAAAGTATTACTTTTGCCCTAATCTTTTCCGGTTTTTTCCTTATCAGCAATCCACGAAAC